TAGGTATTTCATCAATTGCATAATCGTTTTTTGTTTGAATACGAGAAACTACAAAAAACGCGCCCTTGTACAATTTCACATAATACAAGCGTGGTCACGTGCTTCGACTCTCTCTTCTGATTTCGCTCGCGCTTGCAGCGGTCATTCGCGAGTCTCATATACTAACTCTGGTACTCAAAACATTTCAGACTATCTTCGGAATCTATTATATGTGGAAACTGTTCAGAAGAAGACCTCTGGACCAACACTATTGGATTATTGTTTATTCGCTGACCTGGGCCAACGACGAACTATTTTAAAGAGAACAATTGTTAGTGAGTCTGTTCCATCTGACCTATTTATTTTTGTATACCCAACTTAGCGTAATTATTTTTATTACTTTGCCACACACTCCTGGTAAACTGACTTATTGGGTAGCCAGACCACTACAGATGTCAGAAACTTTCAGCCATCCCACCAACTAGCTAACCTGTCCAGACACGAACGTGTATGAGACCAACGTCGCTATTCAGAGTTTACGATGGCAAATGGGTTATGATGATTAGAATCTGCACGTTTCACCCGACTGAAATTCTCGTCGAATTCTTAGTAACTCATGTACTTTGGTCAAACGGTCAAACCAATGCGGTGAATTTCTGTTGTCTGCGGCATTTCCGGAATGCTTTATCAGCAATTAATTTTTGCTAATGCCTACAATCAGTGGCAAGTTCGTCCGGGTCAATGTAAACGATTGGCTCAAAATTACAGCTGAAACTGCAAAAGCTGCCAAGTAATCATCTATTTTTGGGCAGAAACTTCGTAGGTGTATTTATCAGTCATGTAGGGCGCTATCTATTCTACCTGGTGCATTGGTGTTTGAGTTCAGGTTCGCCGAGTTAAGTCATCATGTCTACACTTACCGCGTCACTGGACTTCCTGAGACCACCAGGCATACTGAAAGCCCATCTGCAGTTTGGATTTGTAGCACTTGTAAACTGCTCCTTTTCATGCTCAGTATCACCTTTTTTTCCATCATTATCAGTCACATCGCTGTACAAAAGTTTGTTTTACTGAAATACAACCGCTACCGCCCGTCCGTTGGCTCCAACGTGACTTTGAGACTTTTGCTGAGTGACTGTTGTTGTGACCGCCGGTTGGCTACATTTGACCGCTGCTAACACTAAACGTGAACAAACATTTCAGCTGCAAACGCTGGACTAATATATTCACGCTTGTGGAATAATATTTCGACCACCGGGGATCTGGGATACCAGGAAGATAGAAATATTCTTGGTGTGGTGGTTCAACGGAATACGGAATTACGGAATCTCCTATTTTGAACTGTGAGTCAAGATTTACTTTATTTTTCTCTTTGTATCTTTGTATCTGGCTTACATCAGTAATTTGTTCAGTTCACTAGAGACTCCATAGGGCCGTTAACCACTACAGATTTGTCAAGGCCCAGTGGTTACCTCCGCCTGTTAGTTTATCTCTTGTGCATTGAAGAATTAGTCTGAGCTATGCCTAAGATCGCCTTGTCTATGACGACATCGGAGTTGTCAGACCTAGGGTTGGATACTGGATGACCATGGGTGAAGTGATCTTCGCATACCTGCGACCTGACTTTCGCCTTGCGTTCTAGTTAGAATTCGACCCGTATGGCTTTTACGGTACCTTTCCGGTAGCAACTTGTGACATTCATGCAATGTCCAATTGACAGCTACAAACCTGTATCTGTCAGTCCTCTTCTCCGGAATTTCTGGAAAACCTTTAAACGTTCCCTTTGGACATAGGACCGCTCCCACGACGTTGCAGGCTATTGACAGGAATCGGTAATTTGAACTAAAGTTGGGTGAGCTACCGGTGACGAACGTCATACGCAAGGTAACCGCTGTATCCCGAACGTTCTGACTATCCATTCAGCGTCGACCACAAAGACAGTAAATCTATCGGGTTATTATTCTCTCAAAAATGTGTTGCCGCACATTTTGTTTTCAGTGAATGGTTTCTAATCACGTTTTAATGAGCCTTACTCTCAGGTAGATAGAGGTCAGAACGTGTATCGGGTTAGAGGGGAACCGGCACAGCGGGATCGTCAACTGAGCCCCCTTGGAATGGGGGTGGCGGTCGCGGATTCTGCCTGCTTTATTTCGTCAGGTCAGCATTGTACGGCTCGAGAAGTTCTCCTGTAACTTCTGTGTTTTTCATCAAGCCGTCATAAGTCTGCTAAAAAACTGTTTGCATTGTACGTAAAGGCTCATCAGGATCAACCGATTAATGAAAAATTTGTCCACCCCTTGAAGCAGCCGGATAATCCGATTGTCCGTCAGATGAACGCACTCACAAGGTTGCTACTGATCACGAGGCTTTGAAGTTCTGGTATCATCCAACAAAGTCTTTGGCGAAGTCATCTGCCGCTATGGTGCAACGGTGGATTATTGCACTGAGTTCTTACACCCACACAATAGTTCATCGTAGTGCGAAAGTGATTCCTCATGTCGATTTCTTGTCAAGAATTCCATCATGCGACTCTGATTCAAACAATTCTGATTGTCTGTTGATTCGACCATTACCAGTCAAGCTGGATGTGCTCGTTACTGACAATAAAGATATTTCGCTCCCATTTCTTCCGCACTGCGACGTGGCTGGACGCAGCAAGAACGACGCCGATTTCCTACTTTTTACTGTCGCCGCGAAAGCTTATCCGTTATTCCGAATGGTTTGCTGTGTTTTGAGGACAGAGTTGTCATTCCACCGACTCAGCGAGCGGCTGTTCTTGGAGATTTACACTCTGGTCATCTGGGTGTCGATAAAATGAAATCCCTTGCACGCTTGTCATGCTGGTGGCCGGACCTGTATGCTGATGTCAAGCATACTGCTAAGAATTGTGTTGTGTGTACATAAGATTCAAAACAAGTTTTCACAGTGGTATCCGTGGTTAGTTACTTGTGAAGCATTTCAACGAGTTCATGCTGACTACTGTGGTCCTTTTCTCGGGAAATACTATGCTTTAGTTTTTATTGACGCATTTTCACGTTGGCCTTAAGTTTTTCTGACTAAGTCGCCAGGTGCCGAATTCACTCAGCAAGCATTGGGGAAAGCGTTCGGCCATGAATATGTACCAAACGTTTTGGTCACTGACAACGGCACACACTTCACTGCAAACTTCCTCGAGGAATGGTTGAAGGGTCTTGGATGTACACATCTGTTTACTGCCCTGCGACATCCCCATTCGAATGGACCTGCTGAAAATTTTGTCCGAACACTAAAGTCTGCCACTACCTCACTCTCTCTTACTACCCTTTTATAGTTGGACCGTGGGATTGATAATTTTCTAATGCAATACACGAACGCTGTTCATTCCGTTACTGGGAAGAGTTCCGCACTTCTATTTAAATCTCATTCGTTGCGTACAAGTCTTGACTGTGCCAAAACGGCTGATGTTACATTTTTCAAAGGTAATGATTTACGACCTGCTAAAGGAATAGTACTTTCATCAAATGGCAGACGAATGGTCACAATTCTCGATTTGGATGATCTCGCCTGTCACTGGAGACACATTGACCAGGTTGAGTTCAATACCAGAGGTCACTCTGTTAACGGCACTCCTGTTGTTTCAAATACTAATGAGTCCTTTGTAGATGATCTTATGGTATCTGAACAAAGCGTATCTGAAGAACGCACAACCATTGAAGAGTCTGAAGTTTCCATTCCCAGAAGATCCGAAAGATTGCGGTCAAGACCACCACTGGACTATAAACATCCACACGCTCTTTCAAGGTGTGGCGGATGTGATGAACATGACTGGTACTCTATTCATTGCTCTATTCATTATTCTCTTGTTTTAATATTCCATATGCTGTACATGTTCGCAAATTCGAATACATACGTGCTGGTTGTTAAGCTGCGCTGAATTCCGGATTTCTAGTTCGTCTAGTTATACCGGTATAGGTACGAAACTTAATTCTCACAGTGAGACTAGGAAGTAACTAGGCGACGGGGTTTAGGTACATTCGAGTTATTTGCCCGACTGGCTAAACTGAGCTGTGCACTACAATGCTGATTGTCGCCGCGGGTTCTACAAAATCATGTCATTGATACGTTGACCTCCTGGGGCGCCGGCCTTCGACAGCTGGGTCCTCATCCATCCCATAAAATGGGATCAAACACACTGGGACCGCAATGGTGGTCTTGAAAAAAGTCGACAGCAGCAGCATGCTCCATCGTAATTTGGCGAAATGTTTACCATAAAATCAGCGGTACCATCTCCCAGACGTAAAGCTCCTTTCAGTATCTACCGTTAGGAGTCATACATACATGCATAAATCCGGGACTGGTGTGCCATTATGCGTGGACAAGTCAGTGAGTTTTGGATTCTCAGCTGTCGTCGGATGTCGAACACAGTGCCCAGTTAGCACGCGTCCGCTCCTGGGTGCAGAACCTTTGCCGAATCTGTGCAAAACTTCTGCACTGAGTTTTGGCTTTTAAGCCGCGGAAGATTGAGACGTTTAATAGGCATCAAAGCTTCTTTATTTGTCTTACAGTAATAAAAACCCACAATACCCTGCATTTCCGAGTGCCTACGAAAGGCAAACTGTCGACCCGTTTAAGTGGTTTTGTTTTAGTGTGCGGCGCCATTGCTCGCGGGAAGCTCTGCGTTCTGCTTGTCCTCACGTACGGCTGAGAGTGAGTTTTGTTGTTCTTTCATATGCTTTATTCCTGGTGTGTTTACGTGAACAAAACCGTAAAAAGATTTTTCATTCCAAGTAATCGTCAATGCGCCCGAAATTTTTTCGTGTTGCTCGTAAGGGCGGTTCAAGAAAAACGCTATATAGGAAAGTACGACAGGCGGCTGCGGCAAGTAGCTGTTTTCGTTGCCCGACTGATGAATGCGTCCATAATGCCTTTAGTCGACTATCTGAGGGTAACATTCATGAGTAATCAAATGATAAGTTCCAGATATGCCGAATTTGACCGTCCCAGGGGGTAAACTAGGCTGTGAGTTACCACGATGTTGCCGGCAGTTTCCCCGATCCCTGTTATCAGGGACTTGGGACCAGAAAGACATTCACCACTTCGGTCCCTGGAGAACCTTTCGGTTCCTGCTTTTGACCACAGGGTAGCCCACAGCAAGTCGTTGAAGGGACCAGCCCGTATTTTCTGATTACACTCATATTATTCACCACTTCCCTGGAGAACCTTTCGGTTCCTGCTTTTGACCACAGGGTAGCCCACAGCAAGTCGTTGAAGGGACCAGCCCGTATTTTTTTTCTACACTCATATTGCTTTTCATCAGTATCCTTTTTAAACCATTCACAACCAGGTAGAAGTATTTTAACGGCTGTTTGTCGGATTGCGCGAAGGCTGAATCTACCATTATCCGGTTTGTCCGTTGTGTTGGACGAATTCAGGTACTTTTTTCGTCCACGAACCGTAATGAAAACTCCCCGTCGTTGCTGCGTGCGACAGGCCGGTGGGATGTACGTCCACCTTGGGTTGAATGCAGGTGTGCTGCGACAGCTCCATGAGATTAGCACTAGGCCTAAAAATATCGACATTCAAATGAACGTTGACGGTATTCGGGCCTATAACAACTCGCGTACTCAAGTGTGGCCTATACTCTTCCGAATGTTTTCGCGCTTTCTCTATCAGCCTTTCGCCGTTAGAATATACTGTGGTAAACAAAAACCCAACGATGCTCATCAGCTGATGTCTGACACGGTCGCTGAGTTGACGCGCGTGTTGGCGAACGGTGTCTCCGGGATTTACAATATTCACACCATCTGTCTTCAGTGCATTCTTTGCGACAGTCCTTCCAAGGCCTTTCTGAAGCAAGTGAAGGGACATACAGGATATTATGGCTGTGATTATTGCACATAAAAGGGTGTGCACATTGGCATACGTGTGACTTTTCCCTCGTTGACAGCTCTCTTGCGTCGTGACTCTGATTTCC